AATAAGGGTTTATTGGTCAAAAAAGAGACTAAACTGTCCAGGTTCTTTCCAAATACTGAGCCAGATCTGTTTGGGTATTAAACATTAACACAATAATGATTAGGAAGCACATTTATAATATTGTTCTGTATTACTGCATTAAAGGGATCCTTATTGTAAAGTGTAAAACTGTACACTATTTTGGATGTGATGGTTCACATCCATGGTTAACATGATGTTTATTTTTTTTTTACTTTTTTAATACATCAACATTGTTGACAGTAGTTACATGTTTGAACAATAATTTCAAATATTGATAATCAACACTAAGTTTTAAAAATGATGATTTTTCACATTAAAGACTAACTTTTGGCGTTTATAAATGTTTGTCATCAATAAATAGTGTACTGTATTACACGTTACGATAAGTCTCCCTTTGACACTTGTGAATATTTATGATTCAGTAATACAGTAAAATATTAAGATRTTAAAATACGTGTTTCTTATCGTTATTGTGCTTACAATGTTGTAACCCAGTCTGAAATGTTTAATATAGCGCCTTTAGATGTAATATGAACAGATTTGTTTCATTATTTGGTAAGAAACTGGACAGTTTTGTCTCGTCCTCATCCTTAATTATTGCATRATAAACATTTATTAATGATTTATAAAGTGTTTACAGATGAATTAGTAACCTATAAACTCTTTAAGGGGAGCCTTATTGTAAAGTGGTACCGATATTTTTTTAAATACCACTTAAAGTGTCCAGTTTCTTGTTTTTATTATTTATTGTGTTATWAACCTACATTTATGAATGTTTTTTTAATTATTATTGTAAAACAAAGTATTAGTTCAAGGAAATTTTGTACATTAGATGTTTCCAAGTTTGTTTTTATTTGCTTATTTTTGTCTCTTACTAGCTCCATTCTGTCTCGAGCGCTTTGGACACAAAAACCAGGACTGATTTTCAGGTAAATCGATGCTTTAATAAATAACTATACTGTCAGCGTTTGACTCGCAGCAGACCAGTTTACTCCCCACCCCATTCAGGTAAACGGGAATCTGCAGATAGATGAGAGTTTTATCCTCCCCGCCGGCATTGAGACACACTCCACAGATGGTGACCATTTGCCGCTCCCTCCTGGTAGGAGAAGAGAGTTGGATAAACACTTTTACGGAGAGCTGTGGGAGCCAGATGCTCGTCCGTATCAAGGCTATAAAAGGGATCCGTTTTCTTCTCTCCCCTTAATGCCCCGAATGCAAGCTGTCATACAGAAACACAGGTCAGACATGTTTAAAATAAGCCGATCGATGTGTTGAGAGAAAATGCCTACATGTTCCGTRTTTCTGCTTGGTTTTTAGACGGCTAGCTGAAAATGCTGGGTGGAACGTTGCAGCTGTTCTTTCCATGAATAGAGAACGCTTTGGTCCAAAGGGGTCGCTCGAAGTCGGGTCAGAGCTTTTGATTCAGAACAGCTTCAGAGGGGATTTCCAGGCAGTGTCGCGGATCCTCCGGGATGGTTTGGTCCATCCTGATGTAGCAGATTCAACAGGACACACTGCACTGATGGCCGCAACCGTAACACTTTTAATKTTCTCCACCTCTTAAATCAGCTTAATCTTAACGCAGTCGCACTTTACGAGGCAATTTAGTCTCAATCTGTTTTAGTTTCATATAGTTTCTCCAGCTGTTTTATATYGATTTTGTTTCCTCATCTGTCAGGTAAACTGCCATAATGATGTGATCCATCTGTTGCTGGATATGGGTGTTGATATTGACAAGTTGAACAGTGAAGACATGTCTGCCCTGGCTGTGTGCCACGTCCTCTACTACCCTTTTCATTCCCTGAACACAGCTTGGATGGAAACACCTAGCAAATCYCCAGTAAGAAAGACCTTCATTTAGCTTGCTGTTGTTTATAAGAGGTTGTCTGTCAGTCAGCTACTGTGGTAAAGTGTGGCGTATACAGTGGAGTACCTTTACTTGAGTATTGTACTTAAGTACATTTTTTGAATATCTTTACTTGAGTAATTATTTTTTGGGGAACTTATGACTTTCACACCACTACATTTCAAAGACAAATATTGTACTTTTTACTCCACTATGTTCCTAGGAAGCTTGTTAGTTACTTGTTACTTTTTTCCAGCATAGTTTTGTAATCAGTTGTTGCTGTTTTTCTGTCTTGAAATGCAATTGGCCACACGCTATGTTCCTCACAAGGGGAACCAATCACAGTTGTACCGAGTAAATTCACTTGTAGTTAACCAGATTTGACCATGAGTATCAATACTTTTACTCAAGTACTAGAGTTGAGCACTTAGTCCACCACTGGGCCGCAAATATAAATATATCAGGTTGGAATGTCATGAAATTATAAACCAGGACTATTCAGCTAAACTGCTCCAGGAGCCACAGTTACTGCAGGCCAACAGCTGAGGGGTCGAACGTCCAGCAGTTAAAGTCATTATGTAACCAAGTATTACAAAGATTTGTCAACGTTTGAAATATTATATTTTGCTGCATTAATCATGAATACAACACACAGAACCCAATGAAATAAAAGTAATGCAATTAAAACAATATCAAAAAGAACACATTATGCCTCCCATTTAATACAAATATTATTTTGACATCTCTGACTTGCCACATTTTTTAACTGATTTTTTTTAACTTACCTTAATTTTATCTTCAACTGCTTGTAGTTTTAACTGTCTTGAATGTTCATACAAATGGTTTTCACCAGCTTCTAGCCAAGATTCTGACGTTTCTGTAGATACCAACTTACAGGAATTAAAGTAGAAAATCAGGAGTTTTTTAATTAACCAATTGGCGGGCCGGATTTTGGTCACCAGCGGGCCTGATGTGGCCCTTGGGCCGCCAGTTGAATAGCCCTGTTATAAACATTAATAGTTATCTAAACAAAATGTATCTAAGCAGAAATTTTTTTCCCGTGGTGATTTTGTGGAATTAACCGATACCTTGTCACTTTTCTTAACCTGTGATTTTTGTGTTACTGAAATGTGTCGTCAGGTTTTGATGTCTTCAAGTGAGAGCAGTCTACAGATCAGCCAAAGTGACTTCACATCAGCTGCACCTGGATTTAACAACAGATCTCCAGTCTGCACCAATGTGGAGATTCAAACCGACGACCGCCTCTCAGAACAGTAAGAATTTACAATACAACCCTGTCTTATAATATCTCACACTTCATTCAAAACATTGATAAATGAAGTCACATTTTTCCCTTTATTTTCACAATAAAATAAAATACATAGCAAAAAAACTAAACTAAAGAATATTGTATATTTCACAATTATTATATTTAATAAAAACCAAGTTGATGGAGAATTGCCAAAAAACCCTCAAGGAGCTTAATACCGGTAAGTGGTTATCTATAGATTTGTCCCATCTTTCGACAACACAAATGTATTTTGATTTTTTTTTCTCTAAAATTTTTTTGATTGTTTTTCTTTTTTTCTCTACAAGAAGCTGATGTGTTTTTTATTATGTATTTTTAGGACACCCGAAGAACTAACTGAACACACCTCAGACAACAACAGTAAAAATATCCCTGCAGACAATGAACACCTTCAAGAGGAGGAAGAGGAGGATGAAGACCGTGAACATGCAGAACRAGTGGGAGAGGAACAAAGCACTGGGGAGGACGAAAACAAAAGCARCGAGGAGGAAAGGCAAACAGGGAGCAAAGAAGCGATGGAAAATGGAAAGTTTGAAAGTAATGAAGTTGAGTGTGCTAGAACAGAAGCGGAGTCAAGAAAAACAAAAACGGAGGAAAACGATGAGGCTGAGGCAGATGTGGAGAGTTCAAGTGAGAGTGACGAGGAGACAAGGGTTAGCATGGACACTGTTACAGTTCTCGATGCTGTTTAATCTTGCTCTAATCTATTCATCTTTTTATGTCAGGGACAAACGAACAAGTCGACACCAAAACAGTCCCGTGACTCGAACTGTTCAGTCAGTAGCTACGACATTTTCGTAAGAGAAGAAAAGCTGCAGCTCACAGAAGAAGCACAGAGCCACACAGGAGCGTCTCAGAGCTGTGACTCACAGGAGGCGGAGCGCTCTGTGGCAGCCATGAAAATCCCGTCAGTTTCTTCCTGTTCTTTCATTTTAAATTTCCCTCTGTGYACGTCAGTTTAATGCCTCTTTTCTTTTACCAGGCAGCATGTGCGCTTGAAGACCTTGAACCTGTTACTGGAACGTGGAGCTGACCCCAACCTGACCAGGGTTCCCGTGCCTGTTCTTTTCTTTGCCATCATGGCAGGTGACTCTGAAGCTGTCAAAAAGATGCTGCTGTGTGGAGCTCGTGCTGACGTTCCCCTTCCACCAGAAGTATGCTTTAACTCCTTCTTATTCTTTCTGACACACAAACAAAAGTTTAGCTTATTAATTTTATTCATTTCATTTAAAAACAAAAAACTAAAAAAAAATTATAACACATTTAAAA